ATGTACAAATGCGCTTTACACAATTGATGTGTGTATGGATTGGGATAACAGTTGTTGTATGAGCCCCTAATAAAATGTTAAAAAAAATATCCTTTGAGGTTTAGTATTAAGGAAGCAGATGGACATTGAGCCTCGACTCAAGTACTCCCTCAACACAAGAACACTTTGTTCTGATAATGACACTCTGAGATGCTCACCTTCCCCACACAATCGCTGAAGACAAAGCGGGTGCATAAGCAAATGTGGTGAAGAAAGCTGATGGAGCCTGGCTATCAAAAGATATAGCGTCTGGGGTCTTAAAGGCTTGAAGATAAACAAGAGGCCATCTAGCTGAGAAGCAACAAAGCCCACATGGGAGAAACACACCAGCCTGTGTGATCATGAGGTATCAATGGGAGCAGGTATCAGGCATCAAAGACCCAGAGCAAAAAATCATAATGTGACTGAGGGAGGGAGTGCAGAGTGGATGTCCAAAGCCAATCTGGAAGCAATTGGACATCCCCTTACAGAAAGATTGTGGGGAGAAATGGGCCAGTCAGGGTGCAGTAAAGCACTGATGAAACATACAGCTTTCCTCTGGTTCTTTAATGCTTCCTACCCCCCACTATCATGACCTTAATTCTACCTTGCAAATCTGGCAGGACCAGAGCATGTACATGGGTACAGATAAGAGCTGGAAACAGGTTAGATAAAGTCCTTGGGACAAATATTGAGAGTAGTCATACCAGGAGGGTAAGGAGAAGGTCGGGGGAGAAAGGAGGAACCGATCACAATGACCTACCTATAACCCCCTCACAGGGGGATGGACAGCAGGCAAGGGGGTAAAGGGAGACGTTGGACAGTGCAAGACATGAAAAATAATAATAATTTATAAATTATCAAGGGTTCATGAGGGAGGGAGGGAGGGGAAGGGAGGGGGGAAAATGAGAAGCTGATACCAAGGGCTCAAGTAGAGAGAAAATGCTTTGAAAATGAGGAATGTGCTTGACGCAATGGATGGATGGATGGATTGTGATAAGTGTTGTATGTACGAGCCCCCAGTAAAATGATTTTAAAATATATATATCCTTTGATATAATATAAGCAGAAATCTTATTCTTATATAACTTTTCTGAAATGCCTGAAACCTTCAAACTTTTCAGGTTCACACTACACAACTCTTATGTTTACATTAACTGTGAAGGAGAAGCACTTTTGCAAAGTAAATTATTTTTTCTTTCACATGCATCCTTCACTGTCCTCTATATTAAAAGCACAACTACAAACGACACTGCTATAGTAAAATGTACAAAATAAATTTGTGTGCAAAAATATATTTGTAATTTTGGTTTCTAACAATTTACTTGGCAACTAGACTAAGAGAAATGGACTCGTAAACTCTGAAGTTTCAGTCTTTGCAAAGACCTAGGAGTGAGCTCAAGTGAAGTAATTCAGCCCATTAAAGAACCCTAGTGCACTGAGCTGGGGCAAGAACATCAAGAACAAAGGAACACCTGGGGCTTGTTGATGTTTCGGTAGGAAATTAGCTGTAACCTTAGACTCCAAGGTTTAGATAAAACTACAGTAACTTTCAAAACTTTCCCTACTATTATAATGTTAATTTAACCTGTTGTCAAAGCGTCCTCTGTTTTTGTAACAAAGTAATTGTTGATTCCAGTTAAAGTACCCAGTAGCCTATTTTCTGAAAGATCAAGCATACTTTATTGAAGAGAATCAATGCTCTACTTGCACTTTCAGGGTTATCTTTCAAGTGAGAATTTAACAGAAAACACCCCAAGGTACTACGACGGATGTTAGATGTGTTAGATGTTGGGCTGGAGGGTGGCGGTTCAAACACACTGGTAGCTGCACGGAGAAAGACAAAGCCACAGAAACCCTCAATAGGGTCCTTGTGACTTGGAATTCACGCGATCGCCGCGAGCTCACTCCGAAAGTGAAAATTATTCCCGTCTTGTATTGTGAGTAAACAGAGACACAGCAGTAGAAAATACTTACCGGCACCTATGCTAAAGCATGTCCATTTTGTGTCAGGGATGATAGATAGCATTTGGATATATTTTAGACGGCTTTGAAATGGCTATCATCGGCCTGGAGAAAACATTTTATTAGGTTGGTTCTTTTCATGTGTGTTCGTACAGCCAATTCATCTAGTTTTGTTTTAGTCTGTCGCCACCGTAATAACACAGACCAGCCTTATGAATTATTTTATTTTATTTTAGTTTTAGTTTTCTTTCCCCTCGCTCCCAAGCACTGTTTTCGTAGAGGCACTCTACAGCACTCATGCGTAGGATACTAACGCTATTTTTATTTTAAAAATTCACTTTTCGTTGTATGAGCCCCAGTAAAATTATTTTTTTAAAAACAGCATAGTTAAGCATAAGCTAAGCATTCAAGCCAACGCTTTCATAAAAGGGCTTTTCTTAGGCACTGATACCAAGGGCTCAAGCAGAAAGCAAATGTTTTGAGAATGATGATGGCAACAAATGTACAAATGTGCCTGACACAATGGATGGATGTATAGATTGTGGTAAGAGTTGTAGGAGCCCCAATAAAATGATTTTTGAAAATTCACTTTTCAGGTTTCTCTTCTAGGAGTCAAACCTTATGGACTGAGCCCTGAAAGGACTTCAGAAGGGCTCTTAGAATTCGCTGTCTTTGTTTTCTAAGCGGGCTCTTTTCCCGGGTTCGGAATCTTCACACCCACAAATCGGGCACCCCAGGGCCGCTGCAGGAACCGCCTCTCCCGGCAGCTGCGAATCACCAGCCGCTGGAAGGTGATGGACGGGCCGGCGTCGCGTGGAGCCCGGGGCTCGCATTGCTGGACACTCCCGATTGGTCGGTGGCGTGCGGCTTGGAGCCAATGGAGGGGCGGCTCAGGGGAGCCCTAGGAGCGCGCGGGAAAGAGACCAATATAAAGGGTGGCGGGAAATTCGTTTTCCGAGTCCTTGTCCAGTGAAACATCCTCTTCTGGAGAGTCAGCGGGTTCCCTCTCTCTTAGCTTTTTTCTTTACGCTTACTTTTTCCAGCTGCAGCATGGTGCGGACTAAAGCAGACAGTGCCCCAGGCACCTACCGAAAAGTGA